CACATGCCAAAGCCGCAGCTCTGCCCTTGTCCCTGCCCACGCCCAGCCTCAGCTACCCTGCAGCTGCTCTCCTTGAAGGTGAGCGTCGCGTCTGACAGCTCCTTACATACATAGGGAGGCACAAGCTTGGTGCCCCAGCGGTGCGATGCTGCAGATGTGCAACTCTCTGGTGCCTGGTCGGGCCCTTGCTGCGCCAATGATCTATTGCCAACACAGCGAGAGCCTGGTACCTGCCGCTTGTCACCGTGCAACATATGTTCAGTTACAAACACTGTCGACCGCCCCACCCGACTGCACGCTTTTCATCAGGGAGGGCTTGCCACGCAAATCGCAGGCACCGCACTGATCTTCGAGTTGAACGCGTCGTTTGTCCACAAGAGTCACCCGAGCACAGCACGGCCCACATGTGAGGCAGCACGCAACAGCGCGCTGCACCCTTGCCGCGTTGCGCGTTCTGACGCGCACACACCAGCATCACCGAACGTCGTGGCAACGATCGTCCCCAGCAAGTCAGATAACCAGCTTATTGTAGGTAGCTCAGCTGGTGCCCAACTTGCGCTCCCCCTGTACACACGAACCCCTCCCATCTACTGATGTCAGCATGCCCTCCGCTCTGCCGCTCGTCCGTAGGTGACAGCTTGGCGCGTCACCCTTCTTGGCGCGCCACACACCTTGGAGCAACTGCAGGTGGGCAGTGCTGGCTGTCAGCTGCCTTTGAGGCTCTGAAATGGGGGCAGACCGAGTGGTGCCGTCGTATGTTCTGGGTGTGTGGAACTTGCCTTGTGTGTCGTGATGGTTCGGGAACAGGCCCTGCTCAGCACCATGCATCATTGTCCTGCGCTGACGACCCTTCAAATTCCAGGGCTGGAACGTTGTTTGGTCGAGGTGCACCCCTTGCTCGTTGCTTGTCTGGATGTTGCAGGTGTGCCAGGCGCAATGCGTTTGCTCCCATGCACACCCTGCATACGATGTGCCAACATCGCGCTCCCACTGCCCCGTCGTACCCGTGTCTGCACGCAGGATGCCTGCACCCGACGCCGCCAATCTCGCGCTGCATTGTCAAAACTGGGCTCAGGCTGTGGCAGGGATAGCAGCTGAGGCCCAGCATCTGCCAAACTGGCAACCTGCAGCTCAGCAGCAGACGCTGGCGCAAATTCTGCACGAGCTGCAGCAGCTGCAGCAGCGGGTGCAGCATGTGCAGCAGGTGCAGCAGCAGATGCAGCAGCAGGTACAGCAGGTGCCGCAGCAGCTGCAGCAAATGCAGCAGCAGATGCAGCAGCAGGCGGAGGTGCAGGACTACAATGCACTTGCGCGGCTTGAGAACAACAACCTCAGTGCCCGCCAGCAGGTCATGTGGCTGCGCAACAGCGCCGGGCAGGAGCCGCAGCATCCCCCCGTCACGCTCACTATCTTGAGGCGGGCTTCCGGGGCCACAGTCGACACCCTCCTGGCCCACTACAGCCTGCCCACACATGGCGCTGTGCACGAGCGGTGCTCCAGGCTTCTGCTCCACCTGGGAATATGTTCGGGATAAGGTAAGAGCAGGCGGGGGTAGGCTTGCGACAGGGGGCGGTCCGGGTGGTCGGAGGAGCGGAGGTGCACTGGCTTGCATAATGCTGCACCTCTTGTGTGTGTGCCTCCCTTGGAGTTCTCGCCGCCCTCGCCCTCCCCTGCTCCTGCCCAATCGACAGGAGGCCGCGCCAAGGCGTGCTGCAGCATCCGCCGCAACGCCCCGGGCGGCCAGTGCCGCAAGTTTGAAAGGGCGGGGGGCAACCCGCAGAATGCTGCCCGGCTGCTGCACATGGGAGGAGGTGCTGCGGCAGCGGTTGCGCCGCTGTGGTGGCAGCGCCCGCGGCAGTGGCGGTTGCGGTCGTGGACTGCCGCTGGAGGCGCGCAGCACAGCACGGCATCACATCATCCGGGCCCCTCTCGCTGCCCGCATGGCAGTGGCAGGCCTGCAGGCACGCACAGCATCGCTTCTGACCGGAGAGTAGAAGCCTTCATGGGTGCCCAGTGGGCCCAGCAGGGCCCGTTGCAACCAGGCGGGCCATCGGCGGCGCTTGCTGGAGCATGGTGGTGCAGCGGTGCTGCTGGTCGGGAGGGACATAGTGGCAGGGGCAGTTATGGTGGCTGCGGCAGCCATAACCTCAGTGACGCGGCTCGGCGCGTGTGCAGCGCGAGCTTTGAGCGGTTTGTGCAGGCTGGCGCGTCGAGAGGCGGCAGTGGGCTTGCTTTGGGAGGCTGGGGTGACCACTTCTCTTGCGCCGGGCTGGTTGACTCGGCTCAAGGGTGTTGGCTTCGCTGTTTGCGGGCTTCATCACTCCATCGGGCCTTCCATCCTGTCAGCCGATGGGATAGCCCTAAGCTGTTTGCCGTGCCTGCATGAAGGCACACTCATGCATGTACCCCAGTGGCTCTTGGTGCTTCTGCCATGTGAGGGTTGGGTGGCCCTCCCGGCCAGACTCGAGTGTACTCATCTACTCAACATGGAAACATCCAACTACTTTCGTGTATAGACCGGTTTGACCCTGCTGACTTGATTGTAGACGGGCCCTTGATTGTAAGTTGGCGCCACAAGCAGGGGCCATCGATTATGACCATATGGTGCTGGATGGGTTACATTTCTGTACAACAATTTCTATGATGCTTATTGCAGCTACAACAATCTTTGTGCAAGGCAAGTGCCGTTGGGCCTGAAACAAGCCAGCGCTTTGTGGAGACAGGGGACCAAGGGCCGTCCAGCCAGGAGCGGGTACGCAGTGCTGCCGTGCAGGCTGTGCCAATTTCTTCCAGAGGGCCAGGAGGCTGCACATGCTTTTGCCTATGGCCACGCCAAGACGCACTGTCTGATGGCAGCGCTGCGGGCGCGGCAGCGCCAGTCCCACGCAGATGGGTCATCTGTTAAAGAGAAACTCGAGCTCCAATTCATCAACAGCAGCCATGCCATTACCTCAATTGCCGCCATTCACGCCCTGCTCCATTGACGAGTGAAATCATGGGCGCAATGTTTCACCTTGCAACGCATGACCAGCGGCAGAGCGCTAATCCTGCCTGGCCAGCAGCGCCGACCATCTGGTGACGGTCCCATGCAGTTGCCAGGCTCTGATCTGGCCGATTAGGCTTGGGTCACATAGGCGCGCGAAGTTCTTGTTCTGGGTGAGGTGCCATATCGGGATGTGGAAGCTGGGGTCACACATCGTTGGGTGTCAGTGGGATATAGGTGTTGCTTGCTGTACAGTCACCTCTCGTGGCAGATTCTCGGTGAAGGCGTGCGCCCAAAAAAATGCGATCACCCCACAAGATGTAACGAGGGGGCACTGCAAATTGAGAGAAAACGTAGGCTGCACACTCTTTAATGCCTTTTCACTTGTTTGCTCAAGATAGGTGAGTGGCCTCCAGTGGTGGCCAAGCGTCACTGCCCGGTGAAACCTTTGGCCCACGCTCGGTTGGGCCGTTTGTTCCCATGAGCATCCACCCCTTACACAGTCGCAAACATCGCAGATCCAAGCAATACTCCTGTACATCAAGTCATCATACCTTAACGGCAGGCTCCAGCTCGCGGATCATCAGGGCATCAGGCGATCATTGGGAAAGGCCTGATACCCCATATCGGTGAAAATTGAAAGGCGTGTGAGGTAGTATCGTGTAAGCGACATGGCACAAACGAACGTCTGCTGCCTTACTTTGGTCCTCTGCGGCCTGATGGCCCTCACCGGACTCTTCAGGGCAGGTGGGCTGCGGCCAGGCGCTGGACGAGCATGCGTGTGTCGCAAATGTTCCAGATTTACGTGCTGAAACGTGTCTCAGCCTGGCGCTGGCTCAAGGGCGGGGTGATGGGGCCATGCGGACACAAGTCCACTCACTAGTGTGTGGAGTTGGTTACGGTACCAAAGATGCGCCGGTGGCGCATGAGGTTGCACATGCTTTCGTCAAGGGCCACGTCAAGGTGCACTATCTGATGGCAGCGCTGCCGGCACGGCAGCGCCAGTGCCGTGCGGCTGGGGTCATCTACCGGTATTCAGCACCGTTCAATCAACAGCCATCACCTCACTGGCCTTGCATGCCCTGCCTACACAACCACCAACAGTCCATGCGGATATAGGCGTCTCAGGTGGCGCGGGTGGTGGTGGCCCGATTGGCGGCCCCTTTGAGCTGCCAGAGCGCGCGATGACTGATCGCAAGCTCCTCGGCACTACCGACGCCAAGAGTGCGGCTGCACGCTGCCGATGCGGCAGCAGGTGCGTGATCCGTAGCCCTCCACCAAATCGGGAGTCCCCCGCGCTGCAAATTTGGTTGCGTCCATGCGTGGTGCACATGCGCGCGGCTTGCCCAGCTGCCGATATCACCATGCAGGCCCAAGCAGCCTGCTATGTGTATTGCCTCACCTGCAGCAATAGACCTGCCTACATGCAAGTGCACGGTTGCGTCCCGTCGACGACCCTAAAGCGTATGTAGCATCTGCACTTGGTTGGTTACACCTGCATATGCACGATGGCAGGTCGCACGTACTGTACCTGATAAGCGTACCTGCCTTCTGTCTCATTCAAATCGAAAACGCGGCCGCGGCCTCGCACCCTCCATCTATTCTCCCCCAGGACCTATTACTCCTACACCAACTGCTGGTGAGCCGCTTGTGCCCTGAATGCAGCTTCACCACAACCGCCCTGCAGTGCACTACCGCGCGCTTTTGAGCTCTCAGTCCGTTCTCGTGCTGTCTTGTTTGTTGGCACTGTGCAAACATGTAATGCGGGTGATCAAGGTGACACAGTCTCATCGGTGTGCAGACCGGCGAGGCTGCGTCACCTTCGTCACCTGTACCATGCGCATTTGCGCTGGCGCCAATACAATTTGCGCATATGTGCGCAGCTCTGACAGCCGACCTACGCACGCGTTACTCGTTCATGATGCCTGCTGCGGGTGCGCGCCCATCCGTGTGCCGCTTCACAGGTGCTACTGCAACGGCCGCCGCAAGCTGCAGGCTGAGGCAGACGCTGCCGCCCAGCAAGGCGAGGCAGGCGCCGCCGCCCAGGGCTCTGCCCTGTCAGGCCTGGCAAACTCATTCGTCGCCACCCAGGCTGCCGCCGCCGCCGACAACGCCGCCAACGCTGCAAACCGCTGCATGTGAGCGGGACGCTGCTTGCATACGCGCGTGGCTGCGGCATGCACATGCAGTGCGTGCACCGTGGCGGCCCCCGGCTCAGCGAGCCCCTTCACCCACAATCAAGCTGCAAACGCTTGCGCACTTCAGCGGACTGCCGTGTGCCTCAAACAATGGAGGATTCGCAGCCGCTGCCTGTGGGCCCCGCGCCAAATATACGCTCCTCGCCCCTACTTTTCACACGCCTGCAGGTGTGACGGTTTCAGCTACTCTGGCACGTGAGTCTCGCTAAACGGCACTAGGAATGGAGCCAGCTGGGTATGAAATGAGTCTCCACCCCATCCCCGCTGTCGCTGGTGGCGTGCGCCATCCCCACCTCCCAGTTGTGCGTGACACAGCGTTTATTACCCACAATCTTTGATAGGCTGGCACTGAGCGCGCGAGACCTGCCCCTCACCACACGCAGGAACTGCTACTGCAACGTCAACTGCAGCGGATGAACGCGCGACCGGTAACACTAGAGTCGTGCGCATGGTGCCCGCGTCCGGCTTTGACATGTTTGCCAGGTGGCCAACAGGAGGGGGCTGTGCCCCTTGACGGAAGACCTCCCTTCTGTGACTGCCACGTTCAAGCGCATGATTCCTCATTGGTCAAGACCGATCTTGAAGCAGCCGGCACGGCCCAGCCCTGCAGGCAGGCATCGCGCGCAAGGGCGCGAGCCGCCTGTTGTCAAACTGCCCTACTGGTGGCTTTGCGCGTGTGCGCATGTACATACTCGCCAGCCTCAGATCCTCTGATGCCGCTTGATTTTCACAGGTGTCCTTTGGTCGAACTGCTGTTGCCCCTTGGGCGCACTGTTGGCCTGCACAAGACAGCCCGCTCATCGACTCGACCGCACATACAATACATGCGCCCCTTGATAAGGAACCATTCAACGCTGAAGCGCTGCCTGCAGAGATAGAGGATTACTACTGAACTGCCTGTGAAGGGGATAACTACTTCCAAGCTTGTCGATTCCCGCCTGCTGTACGTGTTATGTATTGCCATACTTGTGGGGCTGAATGCCTCAATGCTCAGCTTGTACATCACAGGCTCCATTTCCCAGGCTGCCTTCAATCCAAGACTCCCCAGCTGGGTTTCCACCATTAAGTTCAATATTGTATTCCCACCATTGCTCGCTTGTGTGATGCTCTGGTCAAGCTGCCACTGGAGGGCAAGTTACAAATACATGAGTGAAACATACGCGCCACGGTCATCTCACAACCCCACAGCCACAACCGACACAAGCGCCACACAGTCACTGTCGGCCCACCGCCCCTCCGGGACCACCGACGCCGGCGTCACCCGTCCAGGCCGGCGCGCACCCATCCTGCGCTGACGTCATCGATGAGGGACAGCTGCAGCTGCCGCAGCTCCCCCCCCACGCCCATGGACGGCGGCTCCAGGACCCCCGCCTCGAGCAGCTGCGCCATGTGCGCCGGCGTCCCCCAGGCAGCGCCGTCCGCCGCGTCGCCCATCAGCGCCCCCGCCTGCTGCGCAAGCTGCTCGTACTTCGCCTGCGCGACCGCCAGCTCGGCCTCCGCGGCGGCGGAGGCGGCTTGCTTGAGGATTTCTGCGCTTGCTGGCGGCAGGCCCGGGGCTTCCGACCCGCAGCTCGCGGCCCAGTCCTCCGCGTAATGCTGGCTGGTTGCAACGAGCTCGGTGATGCCGTCAGAAGCTGCCAGCAGGAACTCAATAGCTTCGGACGGCGCGCCCTCCCGCGCGCGGTACCCGGCGCGCAGCAGCGCCTGCGCGGTCCGCAGGTCCCAGAAGTGGACCGTCAGACCCTGACCGAGCATGGCGAGCAGCAGCGCCGCCGCCTCCGACGCGGTAAGCGCGTCGTCGGCGGCCGCCGCCGCCGCCGCGCCCCGCCAGGCGCGGTCGAGCCACGCGGCCGGCGCGACGCCGTCGCGGGCCGCGGCGTGCACGGCCGCCACGAACAGCGGCGCGAGCGCGGCGGGCGGGAGGGTGCCGCGGCCGCCGCCGGGGCGCTCCGGCAGGTGGCGCAGCGTCCCGGTCCACATGGCTATGTCGACACTGAAGATCTCCTCGGGCGCGAGGCTGGACAGCACCCGCTCGGCTTCCGGGCAAGATCTCACCGCCTGCCACCACGCGAACAGCCGCGCCGCGCTCGCGCCGTCTGCGTCCGCGACGGCGTCCGCCGCGCGCAGCGCGAGCGCGCGCACGGCGCCGGCGGGCGGCGTCGCGCCCCACGACGCGAGGCATGCCAGCGTGACGGAGATGCTCTCCGCGCACGCGCCGCCCGCGGTCGCGGCGGCCGCCTCGGCCGCGGCCGCGCAGAACGCGGGCGCGGGCGCGACGCCAAGGCGCTGCAGGCAGCGCAGCAGGCCGGCGAGGGTGGCTGGCGCGCACAGCGCCATGCGGCCGGGCAGGATCATACCCTCTAGCAAAGCGTCCACCCAAACCGCCGGCGGCGCGACGCGCAGCACGCAGGCGCCCCACGCGGCGGCCAGCAGCAGCTGCGGCGGCATCTCAGAGAGGGCCCCCGAGCGCGCGGCGCCGTCGAACCAGTGCGCCAGCAGCGCCGGCGACGGCCGCGTGCGCAGCGCCCCCAGCAGGCGCAGGCCCTCGGCCGCTGCCGCTGGTGAGATGCTGCGGCCCTCGAGCGACCACAGGACCGCGGACACCAGAGCGGTTGGCGGCGCCAGCACGCCGGCCGCTGCGGCCGCGGCTGCCGCGCCGGGCGCCCGCCCGAAGACCCGGTTTGGATCCGCGGCCTGCCAGCAAGCGCCGAGCAGCTCGATGCAGCCCACCGCCGAGAAGGTGTCGAGCAGCAGGTCGGCAGCTGCATAGAAGCTGCGCATGAAGTCGGCGCTCGGACGGTGGCCCCAGGCGAGCAGCTGCTCGAGGACAGCGAGCAGCTGCCGTCCCTTGGGGAGCAGGACGAGCCTGCCGCGCAGCGCCTCGGCGGCCGCAGCGGCAAACCCGGGGGGCGGCGACGTCACGCCCAGCGCGGCCACAGCAGACAGCAGCCGCGCCAGCTGCGGCGCCGACAGCTCTGCAAGGCAAGGCTGCAGGTGCGTCGACAGGACGGCCGGGACCGCACCCAAATCCGCCTCCGCCGCAGCCACGGCGCCGCTGCCGCCGTTTGCTGCGGGGCGCTGCTGCCTCCTGCCAAACTGGCGCTTGGGCTGCACCAGCAGCAGCCGGTGCGCCTCCGCGGCCGTCAGCGCGCCGGCGGGCGCGGCGGCGGCCTGCGCGACAGCCTCTGCGAGCAGGGCTGGCGCCGGCGCAACGCCGTGGCGGCAGCAGGCCTGGAGGGGCGTGGGAAGGGTGTTTGCAGTTGGGTCGGCCGGTTGGAGGCATTGAGGTGAATCACGACTAGGATGCTCAATGTGGACACGACGTGATGGCCATGACACGTCATATAACCGCCCTGGTGACAGCGGTGGCGTCCCACCGGCATCCAGTCAGCGCGCCGACCAATCGGAGCAAGCAATTGCTCAGATTAGCGCAGGGTGGGAAGGTGCAACGAGCCTCACCAGCACATACTGCAGCGACGCGTCGGCCGGCCACCCCTCCGGCGCGCCCGTCCCCGCTGCGCGCGCCCGCGCTGCCGCCTCGCACGCCGCCCTGACCGCGCCGAGCAGCCGCTGGGCAGCGCGCCGCGGCAGGCGGGCGCCGCCGGCCGACGCCTCGGCCGCGGCGAGTGCCGCGCTCAGCAGGCCGGCCGGCCAGGCCGCAGGGTCCATCCCCGGTTCGCTGCCGCCGGACAACCCCTCATCTCCCAGCCGGGCCCTGCCGCCGCCGCCGCTCGCCTCCAAGCCCGAGAGCGCACTCGCCATCAGCTTTTGCGCCGAGCCGCCAACCGGCCCTTCGCCGCCACCGTCGCCGGCGATGGCGGCCATGCTCCGAGCTCTGAGCGCTGAGAGCAGCTGCAGCTGCGCCTCTGCCGGCCAGGCGGCTGCTCGGTCGATTACCTGCGACTCGACCTCCCGCAACAGCGACTCAACCGTCGCGTCCCCCCTCGGCCCCAGCCGCCGCGTGAGCGCCGCCAGCCCCAGCGCCGCACCGGCGGCGGCCGCGGGCGGCAGCTCGGGGCGCCGCGCGGCGACGAGGCGCGCGCCGGCGGTCGCAAGCAGCGGCTGCAGCCGGGCCGCCGGCTCCGCCGGCGCCGTCGCTGCGGCCGGCGGCGCAGCATAAAGGGATTCACAGTCAGCAAGGGCGGCCAAGAGGCCCGCCACCTCCTCCGCCGTAAAAGCCAGCACGCAGGCGCCGGGCGCGTCCCGCGCGGCCGCCGCCCAGCCGCGGACCGCCCACTCTGCCACCTGCGGCGGCGGCTGCCAGCCTCCAGATGCTGCCGCAACGCCGTCAGCCGAGCTGCTGCTGCTGCTGCTGCTGCTGCTGCTGCTGCTGTTGCTGCTCTTGCTGTCAAGGATGCGGTTCAACCGCCAGACAGTGGCGACGACCCCCGGCGAGCCGCCGACAGTTCCGCCGCGCGCCGCAAGCGCCGCCACGGCGCGCGTCGCGC